ACCCAAAACTTCCCTCCTGGCTGTCTGCGCCCAGCTCCCCTCTCCTAGAGAGACCAGCACTGGAGCAAAAAGTAGAATTCATCCCCTAAGCATCAGAATGAGCCAGAGCTGAAGGTTAGGAAAGCTTCCTTTTGCTAGGAAGATGCAAGACTTCCTCCGAGTATAATCCTAAGAGTCAGAAGATCCTTTTCTGAAGAATTTTAATGGAAGACTTCAGTTACTTTATTCAGTTTACATTCCATTCTTTACACTTCACAGAGAAACCTGCAATACGAAGTTAAGATTTTCCTAAGCCACGTAAAGACATCACTTCTCTAGTGTATCTAATTTGAAGGAAATAAACGAGGGGAAGTTAATCTATCTGACATATTTAATGGATTCTATGACTTCTATTTAGAGAGGAAGGATGTGCTAGGATCTATCCATCAAGCCAACTTCCCCAGAGTTACTGATATATATTTTTTCATATTTATAGTTGTATATTTAATCATTGCTCAGATAGGAAAAAATGCAAAAAGATATGAACTTTTTTATGAAAAGGGAGAGATGTTCTGCCTCTACTGAGGATGCTGACCACCTTCTACATAAAGCAGAAAGGACTTTGCTGCTCAGGTCAGTCTGTCTTGCATGGAAATTCAGTTCCATGATTAGAAGGGATGCAATACATTGGAAATATTTGCAGCTTAGCTATTTTGGCTGATGATCATCAGCCAATTTTTCAAAAAGACAGCTTCAAGCCTAGTTTTTGTAGTTAAAGATTTTGATAGTCTAGGTACCATTTTTTTTCTCTCAAAAATATAGTATTTAAATTTATTACAGAAGAAAGAAAGATTTGGGGTCCAACACCCCAAATCTCCCATTGTCTCAAATGATTCATTATTCTCACATTCAGTTTCATCAAAAGCCAATAATGAATAATATGTACTTACATCTTCTATGCTGTATGTTTTTCCTACATATAGACTGATGTAAAATCAGTTCAGCTGGCAGAGACCTTTCAGACTGAAAGGGTACAACCGGCCCAAACAGGAGGGTAACAGAAGTTTCAAATTTGATTTTTCAATTTTTCACAGTCACATAAAGGAGATGCAGATGACGTGGTCTTAACACAGCAACATTTATATTTTCAAGAAACTGAGACAATGCTCAACAATATTAACCATTACTTCCTCAGTATCTTAAAAGTAAAGACACCTTGGGGAATGGAGAGATTAAATACATCCAGGTCACCAAGAGGACTCCAGATGCAAAGGGATGCGCTGCTAGGGCCTGGCATTTTCCAGCAGGAGGGAATCCTCTGCTATGAATGCAATGTGCAGTGGCTCTTAAAATAATTCCTAACAAGGTCAGTGTCAGGAAAGCAAATAAAGCAAGTCAGCTGGGAATAGAGACTTTTATTACTTAATCTCAGTATAAACAGAATAAGCATATTTTTCTGTTTGCTCTTGTTCACCTGTGTCATCTATGAACATTTCTTACTATTTTTTCATAATACCTTTTAATGGCATTTTACTGTAACTTGGACCAAGTGATTTCAAGCACAATTAAGCAGGAAACATTCTTCTCCTTCCATCGTGTAACCTAGAGATGTTGCTTGCTCCCCAGAACTATCTGCGTGGAATCTTAGGGGTAAAACCATGTGTTCCCACAGAAACACCAAAACCTAATCTGAAAGCTGGTATCACAAGAGCCCTAAGTAGAAGGTATGTCTTCCAAGGCAACCAGCACCAGGCACTTCTCAAACACTGCAATTTCAGAAACTTTCAAGAATCTCAATAAAGGCTAATAAAATATGATTATTATGTGGACAAGCTGATAGATTAAGGCTATTTTCAACTAAATTTTCTACTTTATTCCACAGATGTGCCAATTTCCATCTCAGAGCAAAATCAGCCACAACAAAATTTTCATCAGCACAGGTTTATGAGGAAGGCATTAAAGGCCTTCCACTTCAGCTACCCAGATCTCTTAAATCGAAGCAAAACAAGGGTAGCTAGACCCCTAGCCAAGCTATTTCTTGACAAAAGGTAAATGTTGCTGCTGTCTTTCTGCAGTCTGGTTTGGACAAGCACCAGACAGCCCGGCAGTGTGAACACTCACTGTGTAAAGAGATCTCAGTGGACATGCTTGCCCCAGCCAAGAAAGTATCTTTGTGCTAGTGCATCATTGTCAACTCCAAGCACAAGAATGATTCTACTTTTAAATGCCAGTCTAGAAGTCAGTCACATTTTCTATGCTTCATTTGAAACCTCTTTAAAAGCTACCTTTCTTCGAGCAATAAATTGAGCTGTGTGGCTTGTAAGAGTAATCATTTTTTTGTCTAAATAAAAATTAGGAAACTGCCTTGCCCTTATTCTGTCTCTCAACCTCTCACAGGAAAAGAAAGTTATCAGTTTCCTTGGACACGCAGCACAAGTTCTCCAGCTTGCTTTGAACAGGACTAAAGACTGAAGTGCTCCAAAGGCTCCTGGAAGCAAGGGAGAGGGGAAATAAAACCCAGCGCTTCACTGTTAATTGCATGAATTTAGCTGCTTCAAAGATAGATCAAAGAAGGCATCACGTGCTCCTGTGTGTTGAAACGAACTCTAAGGCGAGAGCTTTGCCTAGACTAACTGAAAAATGCTTTGCTACTTCTAAACTCTCTTCATTCATTTAGAAAATAAATCACATACTGGATATGATAGCTTGTCTTGTTCAGTCACACTGTACTCAGGTTTATTTTTTCAATAGCAGCAACACAAAGAAGGTCAGAGCTTGCTGCGTACCGCATTCACATTTTTGCCAGTTAAGCCTTCTCTAATTCAGCTTACTGCTGGCACAGCAAGGCACGGCACATTAGCACGGATTGCTGGGGTTCAGAATTTGCAAAAAAATCTGCTCTTGCTAAATGGTTCTTTATTCTGATTTCAGCAATCTGAGTGCAATTGCAAGTTTTCTGTTTCTCACTGTATTTGCTTTTAGCAGCCTGTATTCTTGGGAAGCACAGCAGTCTGTTAGATGTGTGTTGCAAAGAGTTGCTTCAGGGTAAGGAGTGTCTCACTGTCTTGCTTCATTTCTCTCCTTTCACATTTTCCTCAACATACATCTTAATATCCAGGTAAAAAAAATGATAGCAATATGTTGCTGGGCATCACTCACAACTTCCTCACATCACTTACTGGCACAAGAAAAGGAGCAAACAAGGAAACAAAACAGGAGCCAATTCAGCATGATTTTTTAGAGCTACAGTTGAAAGGAATGCTCTCATCTGGTGGTCTGTGACTCACTCACATCATTACAGTTTGCTCTAGGAATGCCTGCAATAGGAAATTCTGTTTGGACTTGTCTGGGTAGTTACAGAATTTGCTTCTCTTTTGTGCAGAAGTTTAGGCAAATTCCTCTTCTTCAGTAACCTTAACCAGTATAGAAAGATGCTAAAAAGAAGCAGCCAAAGAATAATGACAAAAAACCTAGCAAAAACAAACTAGTTGCTTTTAAAGTGATTCTGAATAAATAGTGCCATATAAATGACACAAGGAAAGTTGACAGGTAATAAAAACATGAATGAAATAATAGAACTGATAAAAATAATGATTTTGCTTTATTATACGTTAAGGAAAAAAGTTTTTCTCTCTTTCCTAAAGTTTCTAAGAAGAGCCAGCTTCACTCATGCCATGCCCTTTTAGGATTGGATGAGGAGTTAGAATTCATTCCCATATTTTTCGATTCCCATATTCTTATTAGGTTGGCCCATGCATAATTTTGGTGCTTTATTTTTGACATATATATTTGATTAGCAGGCAAAAATGTAATACTAGGGACCAACCTATCCCATGGGGAAAGGGTAGCCAGAGACTGCAATGTTTCAAAAGCACCACAAACAAAATCAAAGGCATCTAAGTTAGTCTGCATTGTGGAAGGACAACTTGAGAGCTCCCCTAATTTCTGCCATGGTCGTAAGAGATCAAAAAGGAACACACCAAGAGAGCAATATGGAATTTTCTTTGACAGCTGTCTGATATGGACAAAATATCTATGCACAAGCGATCCTCTTCAGAGCTGTGAAATGAGGGTGAGGATCCCAAGCAATGCAGCACAGTGCAAACACTGAAGAGTCTGGCTTCCAGTCTTCAGAGACAAAATCTAACTTGCTGTTTTTGAGCATTTCCCTGATATTTTTTTTAATCATTAAGACATACAAAGAAAAAGCACTATTAAATAGTAGAGCATTTAAAATAGAACCCAAGTGTACTGGGAAAAAAATAGTGAGCTGGCAACTTGCCTGGGAAAGGAGGCAATACAGAGGAAATACTGCGACTTAAGTTATAAACGTACATATTTTCAGAAATCATAAGGTCATTGCAAAAAACACAAAATGAACTGCTTAACACTGAACATGGAACAAATTGTTAGCACATAAGAAAGTACTTTGATGCAGAATTGAAAAACAATGAAACTTAACTTCTATTTCCTTCAAACTATTGGGCTAGCTCCCTACTACGTGTTACAAAATGCTAGAGAGGATAATATATGAATAGTGATTTAAGAAGAGCAGGGGGAAAAGCCTATCATTAGCTTGCTCATAGCAAATGTGTTTTCCCTTGCTACATAATAGTGGGCAGTAAGGGTCAGTAAAACATCTACTTACTGGTGTGCAATATTCCACCATGGGATAGTGCATTTTATGACCTTTTGCAACGCGGCCGGAGAAGAAGCAACTTTGGCAGATGTCATAGTTAAAGTGCTTTAAGCTTCTGTACCTAATAGAGGAGGCAAAAGAAAACAGAGAGACACATCTTCAGGGCTTTGCATGTGAACGCTTCATGCCAACCTGTAAAGAAGTTTTTTGTGTTAGTAAGCTCCTTTCCCTGAGATGTCACACACTGCACATTACACTACAGTGTTCATTACCCACTGGGTGTCAGGTATTGCTGCCACCAGAGAGCAAGGAAGCATGGATATTTATCAAGGAACTGGATCCTAGGAAAACAAATAATTAACACTACAGCATTCCTAAAAAGGGGCAACAATAAGGAATTTTACAGAATCAGTGTCTCATACAAAAGTCACCACTGGGCTTTTTGTTTCTATGATATCTTTCACTTATTTTCACCTCCATCATGCTTCTGTTGCAGAGAAATTCTTGAGTAAATAAAACTCAAGCCAGTCACACCCTCCTCAACAAGTAACTCCAGCCAGTTCCTATGGTCTGCAGCATGCTGAGAACTTGTTGGCATAGTTGCTAGCATCTCCATCAAAATAATTTGCACGAACAGAACTCCATCCAGGCAAAAATCTGAGCACGCTGGCAGGCCGCTATTCAGTCTCCTCATCTCTGCGAGACTGTTGTATCTGCTATGAGACTGTTGTACCTGTATCACTATTGTGATAATAGATTTGTTATATGAATTTAAGAGACAGATGAGATCAGAGCAGTAAAATCAGATGAAAGCACACAGCTCTAGTGCCCACTTTCCCAGTTCTTAGTCCTTACTGTGAGACTATCCATTCACTTGGCATCCTATGACTTTCCAACAACTGCTGCATTTTTCAATTCTATCTGCTTGTCTTTGACTGTTTATGGAAATCTTACAAGCAATTCAGTAGTTTCATAAACTGTATCTGAGAGCAGGAAAATTAGACTTTTGTGGAAGTGTTAAACTAGCCACATCCCATCCTGAGCTCTTCAGTAATCTTTATCATCCCCTAGCTGAGGAGATGAGTTTAGATGATCAAAGAATCAGCCTTGCAGAGTTAAATCAGATTCAAAAAAACTCAGATTCAGAAAACCAAACCAAAACAAACAAACAAAACCCCCAAAACCTGAAAATATGTTCTTTACTTCCCATGTTTCTCACTGCTTGTAGAGTTAGAGAAGAGAAACCCGGACAATGAAAAGCCCTCTCCCACTGTAGGTACATAAAAAAGCAACATTCATACTCTCTCACGTAGGGCAAAATGATGCCTTTTCTATGTGATCCTGCCTGCTGCTGTTGTCTGTCTGGTTTTTAGAAACAAAATCACAAAAAGCTTGTTGAAAACAACATGACACCACAGAAGGATAAATGGCAATAGTAAAAGAAGACCAGGAATAAAAAGGACATCAATCATACAAAGCAGCTATTTGGAAACAAAGGGATAAAATAAGTCTAAGCATAATTGCAAGTGAGTATTTACTTAGCTGCTAAGTGGATTCTCAGCAAGCATACTGACACACAGCCATTTTAAAACACACTGCCTTATTCACTGCCCTAAGTAACCATGGTTTTCACTGAGATGTATTTAAATACATCAGTAACATTTCAAAATCAAGGCTTTCATGTTATTGCTAAGTAAGTGGTGCTTACAGAAGATAAATTCAATAGAATCAGAACAAAGAAATGATTTTAATAGAATCGTATTTCTAACATCCCAGGTTAATATTTCACCAACTAAATTCTCTTTCTCTGAAAATGCACAGCATCTCTATACTGTCAAAGATTTTTCAAATCCTTTCCTTCTTTATGCCATAACAGAAAGAAATTCATTAGGATTCCATCGAGAAAATACAATTGCATTCACAGGATAAATGGAATTTATAAGGCAAATCGAATTAATTGTGCCATTTACCAATACTGTGATCAAAGCACAGAAGGAAGGGAAGCAAGAGCAGTACTGAGAGGAAGAGATATCTTAACTGATAAATGGATTTTCTTGTCTGAGCTCCAACTCTATCCAATCTAAGTGTCACTCTCTTCCTCTTGCCCTGTCACAATTATTTTTTTTCATGAACAACAGGCACAAAATCAGGAACAGGCTTTGCCTGGAAACAAACACAGCTCTCAATCTCCTGAACAACAGCATAGAGAGCAGAGGGGGGATTCGTTTGTACCTGAATCCAATAATGGGGCACTCCTTGCAGATGTTGCACTTAGCTTGGTGCTTGGCAGTCTCGGCAGCAGCCACTCTGTGCAGCACGGGCAGCCACACCATGGACTGCGGCTCCAGCCTCATCCAGTCCAGGAACAGGGCAGCTTCGATCTCCGGCTTGTTGTTGGCCTGCAACAGAGCAGGAGAAACACGAGGGCTCAGCACGTCCATCTCAAGGGCTGAGGGCTGCTCGGCCAGAAAATCAGCCCTTCAGACTGTTAGTTTTCTACGTACTGCACACCTCCACCCTGAAGCGCTCGAC